GGCCGATGCCTTGAGGGGAACCGGGGTTTCCGCTAACCACCGAGGACCATCCGGGAGGCTCTTAGCAGCTCTGCTGGAGCTCATGTGCCAGCCGCCAGCTGAGCGCCGCAAAGCCACTGAATCCCAGTTACGGGACTGGATGGAAGTGGAAGCAGCTGCTCCTGAGCTCCTTACAGCATTAATCCGATTGTGCTCTTAACATGTCAACCCAGGAAGCTAATCTGGGCGGTTGGGTTGGGCCGGTTTTATCCCAAATTAGTTTTTCTTTTTAAAGATGTGGGGCTTAAGGTGCTTCAAAAGACAGGGGGATGGGGGACCCACGCCAACCTTACGACCTGGGTGTGTCCAAATGTGTCAACCATGCTGGCTTGGGGATTCTGGGAGCTGAAGTCCACAGGTCGTAACGTGGACATGGTTGCCCATCACTTCTTTAGATGCTCGAAGAAGGTGGCACTTTTGCCTGGACTGGAGGACTGATGGGTGGGTGGGTGGGTGCTGGATCACGACTGCGCCTTCAGGGGTGGGGGTGGTTTGGGGCTAGCAGGATATTCCACGGCTGCAGACCCTCGGGCTTTCGAAGAGGTCCCAGAGGACAGCGGCCTTTCTGGCTGGGGTCCTTCTCAATGAGCTATTGGGAGCAGGTGGGGAAGATGGGCCTGAACGGAAGGCTGGGAGTAAAGGTGGNTCCTTCCTTTCTTCCTTCCCCCCTTTCCTTCTCTTTTTCCTTCCTTCCTCCTTTCCTTTTCCTCCCCCCTCTCCTTCCTTCCTTCCTCCCTCTCCTTCTCATTCTTCCCTTCTTCTTTCCTCCCTCCCTCCTTCTTGTTCCTTCCTTCTTCCTTCTCCTTCCTTCCCTCCCTTTCCTTCCCTTTTTCCTTCCCTCCCTCCCCCTCTCCCTCCCTCTCCTTCCTTCCCTCCTTCCTTCCTTACCCTTCCCTTGCCTCACTGCCCCTGAATGTCTCTTCCTCCACCAGGGGCCCAGGGGGCCCGAGAGCCGCTGCCAGCCACTGCATCCCTGATGGTTACGAAACAAAGACTTTCCAAAGCCGGACTGGGGAGCTGCGCAGCCTCTTTGTCATCCAGATGTGCAGATGTGGAGCCAAACGTTCGGGAGACGCCAGGCTGCCCCACCTCTGGAGCGAAAAGAAATGAAGGCAACAGCCGTGGCCCCCTCCTCCCCTCCCAAGAGCCCCTCCACCACCCTGGAAAGAGCACAAATAAAGAAATAAAATGGGTAAAGAATAAAATGTGTCCAGCTGGTCTGTTTGGCGTCTCGGACACAATCATATCACGGAGCGAAAAAAGGGGTTTTGCTCTTGCAACTCCAGCCGGGCTGCGTTTCCTCCTTGGGGGGCTGCAAAGATGGAGGCCGGGGCAGGGAGGCTCTTCTCACCCCCTCCCAAAGTGCCCCCGTCCTTCACGGGGGGGGGGGTCGCCCACGTCCAGCTCTCCATCCACACCGGCCCTTTCTGGGGGTTTAATCCGGGGCTGATGGCTGAGTTTGCACAGCCACCCAAACCAGCCCAGAATGCGCCACCGAGGGCCCCCCACCCCCTGCCCCACAGGGACCACGGCCCGCTTTGGGGTTTCTTCAGTGAGCCTGAGATGAGAAAAACCTTTGGGCCGAAGGTCAGCCTCAAGACCCTCCCTTCCTCCCCAAGTTTTATTTCTTTTTTTCTCTTCAAAATATACTTTTTTTATTTTCCATTTTCATAACATATAATCACATGTATACTATTACATAGCCAATATCCTATTGTATTAAGTAGTAATTACATCAGTTCCTCTTGTCATCAACGCCCCGAAAGATTAAACCCCATTATTGGCTC